GCACATCACAGGAAGATTCAAAGAAGTTAAGCACACTTCTACCTAACACCTGAATCTCTGTGACCAGCCATCAGTGAAGGGTTCTGTGCAGTCTGTGCCCCACGCCCACTCCTGACACAAGCTTTGAGCCCTCAGATGTTGCAGCTTTCCATAGGTACAAGTGACTGCCGTAGGCAGATAAGAATGAGGCAGGGTTTTTAATTTCAAGGATTGTTATATTAAATTCAACCGAACTGTTGTAGTTAACGGTAACTATTTTGTGGCCGTTGTCCCTTGAAAAGGTGCCCAGGGAGCAGTTTTTGCTCAGCGTCCCTCAGTCGTGTGTAGAGTACCTCGGACACTTGTGCCCTTAGATAGTGGGCTCTTTTGAACTGAAACTCTAATTCAAGAACTCAGAACTGAATGTAGCTAATAAAATAAGTGAGCAACGTGGAGTAATACGAATAGGTAATAGCTGTAACTTCTCTGTAAATAAGAGAAGTAAGGTTGGCTGAGGTTAGGTTTTCAAGGACTTCACATCCCACGGTGAGTTTGGAGATCTTTTAGGCGGTGGCATATTTTCCGAAGCTTTTGAAGAGGGTAAGGACTTGATGATGTCTCAGGCGCAAGGTCCACGTTTCTGCCCACCTCATGTATTGTTTTTGAATCTGGCCTGACTGGTTCAAACCTTAGTGTGACCCTATGATCTCTATTCACTTATAAGGGACTATCAGAGACTCAAAAAAAAAAAAAAATTAATGTAAAATGTTATGGTAGCAAATCTAGCTTTAGGTAGAGTGTTCTTTTTAAAGTGTAGATGAAGAATTCATCTTTAGCCTATTCATAAGAAAGCACTTCCTGTTATAGGGCAGTAATACCCATTGAGGAGTTTTTGAGTTTTTACCCTCTGAAGTGATGAATCTCTGGTGCACATATAGCTACCTAGGGCTATAAAGACTTTGTTTCATATAATTCTCAAATGTGAACTTTTTTTGCAGATACGTAGGGCACCATTCCCATCTTAAGGCTCCTGTCATCGCGTGCACATTTCGCGATAGGAGATGAGAGTGTCATTCTTTGGATCAGGAATAATGATTACTGGTGAAGACCTATCTTAATGAATGCCTCTTTGTCATTGCATTCTTTCAGCAGCATATATTTATTTCTATCTCAGATGAGGCATCTATATATTTTTTCTTTAATCTTGTAGTGTTGGATCTACATGCCTCTTTCTATATCTAAATAATCTGTTTACTTCAGACATTGCTCTTATTCTATGTGTATTCTTTCTGGGTGACTTTATTTTTGGCCTGGCCTTGGTGAGATTTAGTAGAGAGGAAAAGAAAAAGGGAACGAGGCGATTGGTAGCACCAGTCTTGAACTGGCCAACACATAGGACTGGAGATACATGTACAGCCCTGGAAGCTGAAGGAGAAGCTGAAGCTAAAGCTGGGTAGAGGCCCAGGAATTAAGAGGCCGGCCTCTTGGAGGCTGCGACCCTGGAAGGCACAAACACCGACCCAGCGCAGGGTATTTGCCCGCCACATGTGACTGTTTTCTTCCCTCAGAGGATAATCTAGGGGGATACTTGACGGGATGCCTCATACTGGTCTTTGTAAATATGGGTACAATGTAAACTCAGCACTGGATTTAGATGAGCTGACATTACAGGTAATCAATTATGTATATGATACATGTTTTCATTAAATGAAATTTCAAGCCAAGGAACATGTATTTTGTGAATCCTACCAAATTTATTAAACTGAGGTCTGTATCTAATTCCAGGATGAACTGGTTTGGAGAGATGAGTAAAATTTAATATGTATATGCATAATATTTAAGACATTTAAAAGAATGTTTATAGTCTTTATGAGGTACAGAAAATAATAATAAAAGCAACCCCAACTTAAACAGAACATTAAGAATGCCTTTGAAATCTGGCGCATCCCTGTTCCCAGTCCTGTCCTCCCTGGACTTGTGTCTATCATTCTCTTACTTTTCTTTATGGCTGAAACCCTATTATGTTAGCTGGATTTCCATGTCTTTAATTCTTCCAAAGCCTTAGATATCGTTCAGCATATCGTGTTTGGCATGTCCCCAGCCCTCAGCGCCGAGAGTCATCCTCGTAGCTAGCTCCTCTGTAGTATTCCATGCTGTCAAGGCAACTTGAGTTGTCTCGTTTTCCTCCTCCTCGAGCAAGATGGCTGCCATCTTTCTTGCCTTTGCCCCGGCGGACATCACTTCTGTAGGGCACGCGCCTAGAGGTAGAACCACCAGCTTAGTCACGTCAAGGGCTTTCTAGATGACACCAAAATGATCTTGCCAGTTTAGAAGCTTCCACCAGCAGTGTAGGGAGTTTTCATTGCTCAGTGTTCTTGCAAACACTTGATGTCATCAGGCTTCAGTGGTTTGGTCACATTAATAGGTGTAAAATGGGGTCTCATTGTAGCCGTAATTTGCAATTCCAGCTTAACCAGCTTGAGCATTCCTTCATGGCTATTTGTTCTTGTTTCCACTTCTTTGAGAAGCCTCTTCATGAATTTTGCCCATTCTTCTATTAGATTATCGTTATTTTCTTTCTATAGGAGTTCTCTGTATCATCTAGGTATCTTTTTTTTGTCATATTTCCGATATTAGTGTCTTTTCCCCATCCCTGTATTTTTCCCCATCTTAACTTCTCACTTTCTTTATGGTATCTTTTGAAGAACAAAGGTTTTACATTTTAATGTGAATGAATTTATCTTTTTCCCTAGGGTTTGTGCTTTTTTTATATCTTATTTTAGAAATTCTTCCCTACCCTAAGGTCGTGAATATTTTTTCTCATACTTTCTTTTCAAAGTTTGAAAGTTAGGCCTTCTATACTTAAGAGTCGTAATTCATCTGGAATAATTTTGATGCTTGATATCAGGTAGAAAACTACTTTTTTTCTTCTGTGCGGATGTCCAGTTATCCCAGCACTGTTTACTGAACTTGTTTATATTCTTTATACACCTTATGATATATAGTGCCACTCTTGTCATATTTTAAGGTTCTGTAAATGCACAGTCTGTTTCTGGACATCCAGATATGTTCTCTTGGGCTCTCCTTATAGCAGTGTCACATTATCTCAATAACTGTAACTTTGTATTACATCTTATCTGTTGGGTCAAGTCCCCTTTATCTTTTTCATAAGTCTTGCTTTTTTTGGCCCTCTCTGCCATATGAATTTTATAATCACCTTGTTGAATTTTACACACACACACACATACACACACAGAATTTTTATTGGAATTACATTTTTTTCTCGATCGGGAGAAATTTTCTTTTTGTTGAAGCATAATTTGCATACAGTAAAATATACAGAACCGAAGTGCACAATTCAATGAATTTTAATAAATCTATATACCTGTAACCAATAACTCCAACAAGATACAGATTATTTCTGTTAGCCTGGAAAGCTCTGTTGTGTTGTTTTCCATTTGGTCACCCCTTTCTCTCCAAAGTATAAACACTGTTCTGATTTCTGTCACTATAGATTGCCTAGTTTGAAACTTCATATAAACCGAAAATACAGTGTCTGTATGGTTTCTTTCAATTCATTGTTTTTGAAATTAGATTCGTCCATGTTGACTTTATCAGTAGTTTATTCCTTTTTATTCTCAAGTTGTATTCCACTATATAAATGGATACAAATGGGAAAAATTGAGTTGTTTCCTATTTTTGGCTATTATGAATAAGGCTGTTGTGCACATTCTTGTGCAAGCCTTTTGTGGATATTGGTATATACTCAAGAGAAATGGAAACATTTAAGAATGGATTTGTGGGGTAACAGGATAAATCCATGTTTAACTTTATGAAGAAACAACAGATTTCCAAAGTGATGGTACCATTTCATACTCCTTCCAACAAAATATGAGATCTCTAGTTGTTCATTAACATTTAGTGTTGTCGGTCTTTTTAACTGTTTAATTGGTGTGAAATGGTATTTCATTGTGCTTTTGGTTTGTAGGAGTTTTTGTATATTCTGTGTATGAGCCCTTTGCCATATATATTATTGAAAAATTTCTCCGAGTCTGGGGCTTGCCTAATGGTGTCTTTCAATGGACACAAGTTTTTAATTTTTATAAAATCCAATTTACCAACTTTTTTCTATAATGATTAGTACTTTTTGTATCCCAAAAAATCTTTATGTACCCCCAAGGCCCCAAATATATTCTTCTATGTGTTTTTCTAGAAGCTTTGTAGTTTTAGCTTTTATTTTTAAAATAATTCAATGCATCTTAAATTAATTTTTGTATGTGATGAGGCTGAGATAATTCAGGTTAATTTTTTTTCCCCCATAAGGTTATCCAGTTGTTCCAGCACCATTTATTGAAATGACTTTTCTTTCCCCATTGAATTGCATTGGTGCCTTTGTCAAAAACCAATTGAATGTATGTACTCAATGTATGACTCTAATTTTGGACTTTCTCTTCTGTTCCATTGATTATTTGTCTATCCTGATGTCTTATTACTGCAATTTTATAGCAGTTTCTAGAGCCAGTTAGTGTAAGTCTTTCAACTTTGGTCTTAATTTTCAAGATCATTTTTACTATTCTAGATACAGTCATGTGCTGTTTAAAGGCGGAGATATATGTCCCAAGAAATGTGTAGTTCTATGATTTAGTTGTTGTATCAGCATGACAGAGTACTTACACAAACCTGGGTTGTATAGCCTACTACACACCTAGGTTATGTGGTACAGCCTATTGCTCCTAGGCTACAAGCTTCTACAGCAGGTAAATGTACAAAACAACACAAGAATAAATGAAACACAGAGAAAATGATGCAATCAAGAGACCAAGTAAACATAAGATGTATGAGGCTGCTGCTGGCATATTACAGCACACTTTTATAGCAGACTTTTTTATAAGTAGAAAGAGTACACTCTAAAGTAACAATAAAATGTATAGCATAGTAAATACATAAATAACAGTCATTTATTATCATTATCAAGTATTATATACTGTACATTATTGTGTGTGCTATTCTTTTATATGACAGGAAGCACCATGGGTTTGTGTACATCAGCATCACCACAAACACGTGAGGAATGTGTTGCACTGTGACGTCATGACAGCTACAACATCACTAGGTGACAGGAAATTTTCAGCTCCATTATCATCTTATGGGACCACCGTTGTACATGTAGTTTGTTGTTGACCAAAGCGTCACTTATGTGGTGCGTAACTATATTTTGATTTCCATTTAAATTTTAAAACCGACTTGTCTATTTCTGCAGAAAAGTTTGCTGGGGTTATAATTTAGGTCTTTAATGTCTAACAAGACATTAAAGACATTAAAATCATAAGATTTTATGATTTTCTCCATTAGGATTTTATACATCTTTGTTAGATACTTCCTTCATACATAATTTTTACTATGGTAAATGTCTTTTTTAAGATTAAAGTTTCTAATTATTGTTTCCATGTAGAAACTTTGGTATATGAAATTTTTAAGTATAAACAATATTTGTAAACTTTTCTTAATTCTAATAGATTATTTATGAGTTTCCATGCAAACCAGTAATACCATCTGTAAATAATTACAGTTTTATGTCCTTGTTTTCAATTCATTATAACTATTCTTCTTTTTCAACTGTCAGACTCCCAAGACAGTGTTGAGTAGAGATGGGGCTGCCTTTTCAAAGTAACGTAAACTGGATGCCTTAAACAACTTAAATTTATTGTCTCACAGTTCTGGAGGCTAGAGGTCTGAGATCAGGGTGATGGCAGTTTTGGTTCTTTCTGAGGGAGAACCTGTCCCAGGCCTCTCCCCTTGCTTCTGGTGGCCTCAGGCGTTCCTTGGCCATCTTCTCCCTGTGTTTTCACTTGCCTTTCCTCTATGTATATCTGTCTTTGTGTCCAAATGTCCCCTTTTTATAAGGAACCTAATCATATTGGATTAGGGCCCACCCTACTGACCTCATCTTAACTTGATTATCTACAAGGACCCTGTTTCCACAAAAGGTCATATTCACCGGTACTAAGAGTTAGACTTCAGCATGTTTGGGGGTACATAATTTAACCCATGACAGATGGTAATAGTCTTATTCCTTGTTTTATGTTTTTTCCCTTTTAATTTTGTAAATGTGGTAAATTAAACCAACAGATTTTATTACCTTAAATCACCATTGCATCCCAACTTATTCATATTGTATTTATATACATATTGATTCAGTGTGCTAATATTTAATACTTTTGCATGTTTACAAGTAAGAATGATCAATGATTTTTCTCCCCCTGTAGCCGTATCTGATTTGGATATCAAAGTTATACTTTATACTGGCTTTATAAAAAAAAGTGTTTAGTGGAACTTACTGGGTGAACCATCTGGACCTGATGCTTACTTTATGGGACAGACAGTGTCCGTGAAACCAGAATATAGCCAGTGCTCTTGCATTGCTCATAAACTCATCCAGATCAGCTCCCATGGGCTTGGCTATGTGCCATGAAAAGAAGTAGGGCCTCTAGAAGCTTATGGGTCATATCAAAATCTCTTCTGCTCAGCTCCACTTGTAGCAGAAAGAACGAAATTGTTTTTGAGCCAAAGCTGAGGAAATCTGAAGAACCTAAAGGAAGATGCCAAAGCAACAAATTTTTTTTAGCAGTAGCTACAGGTGTTAACTAAAAGATAATGTTTCTGTGTACATCTGTAGAAGAAAATTAGTAGCTTTTCATTAGCATTTTCAAAGACACTTCGATTCTAATGATCACTAGTGGTGCTGTGTATTCTTAATTTGGTAGAAAGTAATTACTAATACTTTAATTTTGGCCCTTAGCACATATTGCTTTATGCTATTGTTTATTTTTCTGGTCCTATCTTCTCAGTGAAGTTGGAAGACTCTTGGGAAATGGGACAGTGTTGTGTAACATGTTTTTTTTTATTATTGGTTTAAAAGTTTCTTGTTGCATATGTAATGTTATCTTTATTTAAACTATTGTCCATGAATGTATTAATATTTTTCAATCTCCCTAACTAGGTATGTGTTTTGCTATTTTTAGAAAAATGTAAAATATTGATCTTTTAAATTATAACCATGGTTTTAAAGTGACATTCTAACAGAAAATTCATTTAAATTTCAGATCAGCTTGAGATCACATAGTAAAGTGTGAACTGTACGCCTTACAGAATTTTTAAATTTTATTACCATGTTAAAACTCTCTGAATTCAGACTCTTGTAAGTTAGCCTTAATAATAATACAGGGAGATATGGCCAAAAGTTTGCCTTCCTATGATTCATATTTTATCTAAGTAAATTTATCATGTGAACTAGATCAGGGAGAAAAATTTTCCACTGCCTAAAGGAACATTGTTTAAGTATTTGAATGTTACTTTGTCAGCTTTCATTTATCTCTGCATAATTCCGTTTTAGCTACTTGGAAGTTTATAATACAGTATTTGTTATCTGTAATCACTATTATTTGCATTAGCTCTCCAGGACTTATTTATCTACTGGTTCCAAGTTTGTACCCTTAAATAATATATCCCCAATTTCCCCAACCCCTGGCCTCTGTTAAGCATCATTCTACTCTATTTTTATGAGTTCAGCTTTTTTAGATTCTACATATAAGTGATAGCATGATATTTGTCGTTCTCTCTCTGACATATCTCACTTAGCATAATGCTCTCAGGGTCTATTCATGTTGTCACAAATAATAGGATCTCCTTCTTTCTCATGGCTGAATAATATTCCACTGTGTACGTGTGTGTGTGTGTGTGTGTGTGAGAGAGAGAGAGAGAGAGAGAGAGAGAGAGAGAGAGAGAGAGAGAGAGAGAGAGAGAGAGAGAGAGAGAGAGAGAGAGAGACATCTTTATTGACCTAAGAGAGAGAGAAAGAGAGAGAGAGAGAGAGAGACATATCTTTATTGACCTGTCAGTGGACACTTAGGTTGTTTCCATATCTTGATTTTTATGAATAATGATGCAATAAACATGAGAGTGCAGATGTCTCTTCAAACTCCCATTTTTGTTTTCTTTGGGTATATACCCAGAGATGGAATTGCTGGATTATATAGTAATTCTATTTTTATTTTTTTGAGGAACTTTGTTATCACTAGTGGCTGCACCAATTTATATTCCCACCAACAGTGTACGAGGGTTCCCTCATCTCCACATCCTCTCCAGCGTTTGTTATATCTTGTCTTCTTGATGACAGCTATTCTAGCAGGTGTTTTGATTTGCGTTTCCCTGATGATTCATGATTTGAGCATCTTTGCATGTACTTGTTGGCCATTTGAATATCTTCCTTGGAAAAACGTTGGTTTAGTTTTTCTGCCTACTTTTTATTGGATGGTGGGTTTTTTTGTTGTTGTTATTGATTTGTATGAGTTCTTTGTATGTTTTGGATATTAACCCCTTGTCTGATACATGGTTTGCAAATATTTTCTCCTATTTCGTAGGTTGCCTTTTATTTTGTTGATTCTTTGCTGTGCAGAACTTTTTAGTTTGATGTAGTCCCACTTGTTGATTTTTGCTTTTATCGCTTGTACTTTTCATGTCATATCTAAAAAAAAATCATTGCCCAATCCAACATCAAGTCGTTTCTTCCCTATGTTTTTTCCCAGGAGCTTTGTGGCATCAGGTCTAAGGTTTAAGTTTTTAATCCATTTTGTTTTAATTTTTGTGAGTGGTGTAAGTTAGGAGTCCAATTTCACTTTTCTACATGTGGTTATCTGGTTTTCTCATCACCATTTGTTGAAGAGACTATCCTTTCCCCATTGACTATTCCTGTCTCCCTCGTCAAATACTGGTTGACCATATAAGTGGGGGTTATTTCTGGGCTCTCTATAGGTTCCATTGGTATATGTGTCTGTTTTTATACCAGTACCATATTGTTTTAATTAGCATAGCTAATTAATGTAGTTTGAAACTATAAAGTTTGATACCTCTTGCTTCGTTCTTCTTTTACATTTTCACTTTGACTATTTGTGGTCATTTTTGATTCCATACAAATTTTAGGATTGTTTCTTCTATTTCTGTAAAAAATGTCATTGGAATTTTGATAGGGATTGCATTGAATCTGTAGATTGATTTGGGTACAATGTACACTTTAACAACATTAATTCTTTCAATCCATGAACATGGATATCTTTCCATTTGTGTCTTATTTAATTTCTTTTATCGAAGTCTTATAGTTTTCATTTTATGGGTCTTTCACTTCCATCGTTAAATTTATTCCTAAGTATTTTATTGCTTTTGCTGCTGTTGTAAATAGGATACTGTTTTAAACTTCTTTTTCAGATGTTTTCTATAGAAACACAACTAATTTCTATATGTTGATTTCGTATCCTGAAACTTTACTGAATTTGTTGATTAGTTCCAACAGTTTTTTGATTGAGTCTCTAGGATATTCTGTGTATCAGATCATGATTTACAAATAACAACAATTTTACATCTTTATTTCTGACTTGGATGCCTTTTATTTTTTTGTCTTGCCTTATTGCTCTAGCTAGTACTTCTAATACCATGTTGAATGGGAGTACCAAGAGTGGGCACCCTTGTTTTCTCCTGACCTTAGAGGGAAAGCTTTCAAATTTTTACCATTGAATATAATGGTAGCTGTTGGTTTGTCATATATGCCCTTTATTATGTTGAGATATGTTCCTTTTATACCTATTTTGTTGGGGGTTTTAATCATGAAAGTACATTGTATTTCATCAAATGCTTCTGCATCTATTGAGATAATCTTACGGTTATATATTTTATTCTGTTAATACGGTGTATCACATTTATTGATTTGCATATGTTGAACCATCCTTCCATCCCAGGGATAAATCAACTTGGTTATGATAGCTAATCCTTTTAACGTGTTGTTAAATTCCATTTGCCAATATTTTGTTGAGAATTTTTGTATCTATGTTCATCAGAGATATTGGTCTATAGTTTTCTTATGGTATCCTTTTCTGGCTTTAGTATCAGGTTAATGCTGGCCTCATAAAATGAATTTGGAAGTGTTCCTTCCTCCACAATTTTTGGAATAGTTTCAAGACTGACATTAATTCTTCTTTAAATGTTTGATAGGATTTCCCAGTGAAGCTATCTGGTCCTGGGCTTTCCTGTGTTGGGAGACTTTTGATCACTGATTCCATCTCCTTACAGTTATTGGTCTGTTCAGATTTTCTATTTTTTCATAATTCAGTCTCGGCATGTCATGTTTTTTAGGAATTTATCCAGTTCGTT